AGCAGAAGAGATGGCAACTCTGGTCAAAACCAAACCGTAGTATATTTAGGGAACAAAATTTTTTTCAAGTACAATTTTCTATTTGTACATTACTCAATACCAATTGAATTCCGAATCATTTCAAATCTGCAGACTTGATCACAAATGGTATTTTTGTGTTTTCAGGGAGAAGTTCTTCTGTGCGTGGTTGAAATTCCGATCACAGATTTGATAAAGACAACTGGAACTTTTGTTTTGAACTAAATATATCGTGTTTTCTCGTCTTATAAATATGTACTATCTACTGCGTCTTTTTCCGTTTTCTTAGGTCTTTCCACTCTCGATATAATATAAACTAAACAGATTTTGGATATTGGATGATTTTTTTTAACTTCCATTTCTTTGTCTACGAACATTTAGATAAAGTGATATCACAGTTAGGTACCCTGGAGACAAACCCTGCTTTTTGTGTCTCTTGTCTTTTTGTAGTTCTATTTTTCTGAGTTCGATAATAAATGTATGTGCACAAACGTGAGCGGCTATCAATCGCTTTCATCTTTCAACTTATTTTGAGTCTGCATTGAATTTAGATTAACAGCGCATCTATTTCTCGACATTGGAACCTCGCGGTAGTCTTTTTTGCAGTTTAAAAGCCAAAAAAATGTGCTTCTTTTTTTCCTCTTTTCTATTGAAAATCCTCTTTTTTTCGAAAATGAAGTTTCTCTTGTTTCCTCTTTTTCTACTAACTGTCGGTGGGATGCCAGATTAATACTTCGATAAGGTAGAGGAAAGTCTTACTTTGTTCTTAAGTTGTCTTAAGTCGTTTTGCTAGGCGATAATTAACACTTTTCCCCATGTTTCATTTGGTAATCTGAAACAATGGGTATCCGGCGGCGAATACTATATACATATTTTGTTTTCCTTTTTCTCTTTCATAGTGAATAATGAATTTGTCTATTAGCTGATATCAAAATCCGAATCAAGATGACCAAGATGACGGTTAAAGGTCGTACCTCTTACTCGAACAATGATGATTTGAGAAATATGAAAAAGAAAATTAAGAAACGAGATTGATGTTTATAAATCAGCATCTGAACCAAAAGAATGAAAAATAATTGTTTAGAAATCTTAAAACGCTTCTTGTAGAATAATGTTAGAACACAAATCATAATGCGAATCTGCCACTTATATTTGAAAACAAAAGAAAGTATTTTCTATTGTTGGCTTACACATTTTGTTCATCAAGTCTTTTTTATTCTGTAAAAGTACGTCAACAAGATATCAATTAAGTTTATTCTTTTTTTTTCTATATTTTGAAATACAGCAATGTCAAGCCTTGAAGCTCATGTACCTTCACCGGCAACATTTTATCCTAATATAAAGTTACCACATTTGATGTACAATATCAATGCAATGCAAGAACATTTATAGGGTGTGGGGTGTGAATGAGGTAGTAGAAAAGATCAATACATTCATAGACACTCATGCTTCACACACTAAAATTGATTTGAAAGATTAGCTTTATCATTTCTCGAAGCGTTCTACTTCAGTTCGAGGAAATTAACATGTACTGATATCTGATTGTTGAAAAAATTATCGTATTGCATTCATAAAATCTGCTGTAAACAAAAATTTCTTTTGTAAACATCACAATAGTAAAGCAATCATACCAGGTTGTGTTGTGACTGTTCCACGTGCATATTTCTTGTTTTTTCTGTTTCTGTCGTCACGCAAAGAAAACTATTTTCTGATTTTTTTTTCTTCTGTTCTGTCAAGGGCATTTCTTCTGTTTTCTGATGTTCCTAGTCAGGGTTGTGTTATCGTATATGATCGTCGTTTGTAGTCGTTTTTTTCTTTTCCTCCTATTCTATATCCTTGCTTTTCTTCTTCTCTTTTCCACTATCATTTTGTCACATTCTATAGATCTAAAAGCACAAAAATGGGTACGGGTAATAGTGCTCCAACGTTTTTATTTTCATATAAATTGAACTTCACTCGTGAGACACCAAATGATTTTTATTTGAGTGGTGATCGAGTTCAAGGTATTATTCAAATTACTACAAATGATAATGACAATGATTTGATCCGTAAATATGGTCCATTGTATGTGGAACTCATTGGTGAATTGCATGATTTTAAAACAGATACTCATCAACATTACACAGAAGGTGTTCATGTATTCTTTCGAAGAGGAGCACAAGTGATACAGCTACCAAATGACCAACAAAAACTGGTTAGATATTTATTTAAAAGAAATTTTTTATAGAAACAAAATGTTCAATATTGCTTCCAGTTGCTTTTTTTTGTATGAGTTGCAAGGATAGAAAAAAATGAGATCGTCAAACAAATGTATTCAGGTGTCCGTCAAGGATAAAACCTTAAAGAGCAGCTATTGTAAAACTATGTTTCAAGAAAACCAATAGTAAATGAATTTGGCGCATAGCTTAAACCATATATATCTTGCAAAGTAAGACTCTTGAATACTGCCGTACGTTACAAGTTTCTATTTTATTCATATGTCAAAATCTTGATTATTTTTTCTGAATCTTCTCCTAATTATTATTGTTTCTCTTCAGGAAACCAATCGTTTTCAAAGTTATAGATGGGCATTCGGTGGTTCACTAGATCCGTTACTTCCTTCATCATTACCACCCGATGATGAGTGTGATCCATGCATTTGCTATTATGCTCTTGTTTATCTTCGTCGTGCTGATTATACTGATTTTGCTCGAAAATTTTCTTTTCTCGTCTTTACGCGAACTTCAAAGCCAGTTGTCGCTCGACAATCGTTACAAAACAATATTATTGATGCTAGTGTACGACATAAAGATGTGAAATTATATGGTGCCCTTCCGAATAATGGACTTGTTGTGCCTGGTCAGACTCTTATGTTACAAATTGAAATCGACAATCCAATGAAAGTAACAATCAAATTGATTCGAGCAACACTCAAACAATATCGAACTATAACGGATCAAGAAACTGATCTTATTATTTTTTCTTTTCTTTTACCAGGATTTAAACCGAAAGGATTCAATAGTGAATATCGTCAAAGTTCATATGAATTACCAATACCCATGGAAAAATGTCGACTCATGGCTCCAACATCATCTTATAAGAGTGTTCGATATGAACTTCATATTCAATGTCATTTATATTGTCCATTTAATAATCATTTCACATTAACATTACCGATTATTTGTACTACTGATCATCAACAACCATTAAAAATCATGGACGAATTGAAATCTCTACCTGAAGTTCTTCAGCGTCTATCGAGTAAACAAGAAGAAAAACCACCACCGAGTTATGAAGATTTTATGGCCAGTGAGATCTTACCTAAATATGATGATATTATTCATTAATCATCCTATCTTCTTCATTATCTCGAATGCATAAATATTTGCAATATAAGCAAATTTCTCTTTTTCAACGATGCACATTGAATACTCATGAGATCATCCACCCTGTAACTTTCGAAGTTGCTCACAAACAACGATGTATGACTCAGAAATAATTATAATAGTAATAAATTGATTTTATCTATGTATATAGAAGTTAAACTTTCATTGATTGGAGTGCCGTGATTTGAAATAATGGTGTAATCTAGATGTAGGATATTTTAGGTCATTATTCGAGTTTTTCTCAACAGATTCGTTCCATAGCCGATATCTAAGCGAAAACATGTTTCAAGTAAGTCTTCTATTAGATTTTTCGCTTCAGCCTTTATTTGGTTTCCAAATGAGAATTTTACAAACGAGGCATATTTTCGATTAGATATATTGATGAAAAATACAATTTGATAATTAATAGCAATTAAGAAAAAAAATATGACCAATAATAAATAAATTTCATAAATGAAGTGATTTAATAATATGTTTGAAATAATATTGAAAAGTTAATATTGATAAGACGAGTTGAATTAAAAAGACAATTATGCAAATCTGTACTAATATCAAAGTAGATTTTCATAAATAACTTCATCCGAAATATATTTGTTTCAATTGAGTGTTGTCATTATAAAAATGAAATACAATTTATTAAGTATAAAACAACAATAAATAAGTATGAATTTCATGTTGTTGCCTTTCGTTTGTTTGTTCAACACTCAAAGTTCCTCCAGTGCACAGAATAGGCAATTAAAAATATCAATATGACTGAAACTAGTGAAAAAGAAAGATTTTTACTTTGCGCAGCAGGATTAAATAAAATAGTGAGTTTAGTAATATTTAGAAAATAATTTTGAAAATTCATCAGCATTGTTTGACTATTTATATTAATATTTTTGTCTATTTCTTCATATAAAATATATATGTAGTTTTCTCCTTAAAAGAAAAAAATAAAATACAAAGCAAACAAAACTTTATTAATCTGTGTAGATCCGTTGAAAAGAACATGAGAAAATTTTGATCTCGTTTTTCATCAATTTGATATTCAAAAAACTATTGTCATTTAGACCAAATGGATTATATTAATAAAATCAAGAATATTTTCATCCCAATTTAAATTATAAGAAACAAAAATATCAAAAATTCATGAATATGGTATATGAGATAAGATCAATATTTGCCATTGATTAGCTTCTAAATATGTTTTATTACAGCAATTCGACAATTCGAAATATGTAATACTTGACTTTGATTAACAAGAAATTGATTCATGGATTCAAATTGATCGAAAGATGTGTCAAATGTATTAACAAAGTTGAATATAATTGCATTTGTATCATAGAAGAATAATGTGGAGAATGAATCGACAAACAATTAAGATGAGACGTATTATGATAAAAGATTATTGAGATTGTCTAGAATTATGTGTACTATCTAAAACAAAACGTTCCATAGCACTGAATTTTTTCGTTGCAATATTTTAATGCAGGTAAACGAAGTAGTCGTTTATCAAGATTATTTTTACTGTACACATGATTTCCACAATTAATCATTAAAGAAGATATTTAAGAAGCTTCTCAAGATATCTTGATTGAATTTTATAAAGAATAAGTGTTTCAAGTCGTGTTAATTTTAATTCCATAGAAATCGATAAAAAATACAATCAATGATAAGTGGATTTGATAAATAAAGCGATTTAGTTAAGTGTTGATTAAATATGACAATATGTGTATAATAACGTTCAAAAGTTGATTTTGATGAGAATAAAAGTTTTACTTTGATTGGAAGAGTTGAATGTTTAAGAAGTTTTTGAAACCGGTTATTAATATAATTGAGATATTCAAAAAATTCATAAATAAGTTGAGTAGAAAGATCTTTAAAACGAGCCATAGAATTTCTTGATAAACTAAAAAAAGATTAAATGTTAAAATTAAAAACCAAAGAACTCTTCTATTTTGACTGACAGTTGCAAAGCAACTGCTACTTTCTTTTTCTTGTCACCATCAGCAGTACTATTTTGTGGTTTTATTTGTTTCATAACAAAATGAAAACACAAGTAATACGTTATGTTGAGTCGTGAGTTTGACCACAGCAGAACTTATCTAGTTACTTTATCCTATAGAAATTTCAAGTCAAACTGATTAGTTCTTAATGAAATGTAGGTGCTGCAAAAATAGCAAAAAAAGTCGTATTTTGTTTTGGCAACGCTTTTGGGAAAAAATGAGATATCCCGCGAAGAAAACAATACTATTTCAAACGGTTTCAGTAGATATTAATTAAACTCTTGTCACTGCAACAGACGCAAAAAAAACAACCCAATCAAAAATCTTCGATTGAACATACAATTAAACAAGAATTGTTTAGTTGTATACGCGTGCAATTTCACTTCTTTTCTTATTCTATTCTATTCAAAATAGATGCATTTTTTCTTTTTCGTCTTCATTTTATTTATCTAATATTTTACTGCACTAAAAATACCTTAGGGCATTCCTTCACTTTGTTTTTTTTCTTTTTCTTCTTTTTTAAAATAGATATTCACTGTCTGTATGAACGTGTTTTTTTATACTTCTTCAGAAATATATTTTATCATAAAGAACAAAAAGAAATATATCTATGCCTACCTGCATTTTTATCGTATTTGCTATCCTTTTTCCAATAAACTTTTTGATATCTCTATCTTGGGGATAGATGAATATGAAAACACTTAACATAACTAGTTTCACATCGACTAAAACGATCATCAGATGGCTTAAGTCAAGATGAATTCAAATAATTCCAAAAATTTGAATTGAAACTGAGAGTGACGATCAGAGTGAGAATGAGGATGAAGATAGATCTATCACTCTCACCGATCGCTTACCCTCAAGATATAGACAAACGCTTCAGCAAATATCATCATTGAAAGTTTTCAGTCATAACGATAAATCATAATAATAATAACGACACGATTATTAGAAGTGTTGCTGATCGGTTTTATGTAAGTGTGTAACCGTCGTATGTTTCAATAGATTAGAAAACGAAATCTAGTCATGACTCCTAGTGAAAATAAGCCAACGAATATCATCCGATAAGTAAAAGTGTTAGTAGGGTTTAGGAAAAGAGAGTATTGACAAAAGTACAAACATGTTCGGATAACGAAATCTTTGGTGCATAAGTATACTTAATACTTTGATAAGAAGACAAGTAGGAGTTGACGTCTAGACTTGATGGCTGACATAATAATTATCAAAAATAATTTAGAGACAAAAAAAGATAGTTTTCACCCATTGAATGATATTGTCTTGGCTGAAAGGAGAATCATATGAAATAAAATGCATTTGTATGTTTGCAAGCATGTGTGGGGTGTAGATGTGGGTTAGGTGTGAGTGCGACCATTATGTGCTTTAGCATCCACACTCACACCTTTCAAATTCGTTAGATTAGAAAACAAGATTTATATAAAATTACACAACATGATTACGTATCAGTTTCGTTTCAAATAAATCTTATTAGCTATACGTTTGATTTTATATTTATAATGCGATTTTATTAATTTGATCATGTTTTGTAATTCTTTAACCATTTTATCGTTTGCTGTTTGAATGCAGACACACAGAGCACGAAGATGGCATATGTATTTGCGGTTTTTTCTCAAAATATATACTATATGTGATTTCATATTAGTATTGCTGAAACAACCAATTTCAAAATATTGCATAAACGAACAAAGATTAATAAGAAATAGAACTTGTGTCAATTCATTCATCTGTTGGATATTAACTCTTCTTATTCGATTGTTATTCGATACTAAGCGAATAATATTCTTTTATTTGGGATGTAAACATCATGGTTTTCTCAATGATAAATACTACACTCTTAACGAATTCAGGTTTAGTAAATGACGTACGAGATCAATTAACATTCGAACACAAGTTGCTTCAAATACAATATTCAATTTAGTAATTCGAACAAGTTCGAAAAAAGAAGCCATATTATCAATGAGTGATACATTATTGTCTATAAAACTAGGATCAACGATAGTGAGTTCTGTGCCTTGAAAAATATTTAAATTATTATCTTGAGGGTGTGGGTGTTGATGATAGTGAAAACACCCACACGTACGCCCACATCCTCACACTGGGCTCTGAGGAAAAGAAAATAAAGATGCATTCAGAGCGTCTTATATTCTTTTCCCAACAAATTTCTGCTGCCATCTAGCAAAACTACTGCGAATAGTGATACCCAACTCTATCAGCGAATTGGGTGTGAGTGTGGGTGTATGTGGTTGTGAGTGTGCGTGTGCGTGTGCGTGTGGGTGTTAGAGCCAATCGTCTATTCTCTCTTCTACCCACACCCGTACTCAGCCACACCTACATCCACCCATATTCACCCATGCCCACTTCACACTCTTACTCACCCAAACTCACATCTACACCCTAACGATGCTAACAAGGAAAAGATTATCTTATAAAAGTCACTTGATTCGTAGTATGACACATTACCTGGAGTGTAAAAAGACGTGTTAATATTCATCACGTTGAGCCTCACAAGGGGTGTGGGTGTGGGTGGGTGTGGCTATGAATGATAGTAATAACACCGGCATCTACACCCACACCCTCGCACGGGGCTCTGAGAAAAAGAAAATAAAGATCCATTCAAAGCGTTTTATGTTATTTTCCCATCAAATTTCTGCTTCCATCTAGGGAAACTACTGCGAACAATGATACCTGACTCTGTCAGCGAATTGCGCACAAAAAATAGTCAAGAATGTTGAATAAAAACTTTTTCATCTGCCTTGCCCTTTAAAAAAAACATGGCAAATGAATATGGCTTATGGCACGATGCTTTTACTTTTTTTTCGTCAGAATGTTGATCGAACAACTGCAACAACATTCAAGTGACGACCAGCTCTTCTCTTCTTTGAAGAATGAAATTTGCTTCGAATGCAAGCAATGAAAAGGAGAAAAAAAAATTGTTATTCTAAGCAAGACAGCAGTAAGTCAATTTCGATTTTTCTCTTAAGGACTAATGTGTTCTTGTGCGAAGTGAACAGACCAGAGACCGAAACGAATGAGTCCGTTAGTGAAACGACGAAGATTCAGAGGTCATTGTCTCTCGATTCGAAACCAACCTATCAGGAATGATGAGACATGAACAATGAGAAAGAGATCGAAAAGCTCCATCGACTAATTGGATTTCGATCGAACTATTCTCTTCCAGTGTGGATTGGGTGTATGGGTGTTGGCATTGTGTCTGTGTGAGTGTGAATGTGCGTGTGGATGTGGATGGATGTGAATTGTGAATCTGAAGGTGGGTGAAGAAGAGATCCAGAGTCCGACTACATCTCACACACACACACACCCACCCACACCAACACCTGCACCCCACAATCACATCCTACTCCAACATCCTTATCTTCGAAGGTCTCCAAAACATTCGGAAATCTATTTAGGTTTCCCATTATACTTTTTGGAGATTTAGATGATTTGAAAACTATTTCTGTTTTCGAAGAAATACTTCGAAAACCAAGATGGTATTATTAGATACCTTTTAGTGTCGAAAATCGATTTTGCTAGCAATTTGGGTTTCCCAATATACCTTTACAGTTTTCCTCAATACTATCAAAGTATTCGAGAATACTTCTTGGAGTATCCGAATCCGCATTCTTGAAAATCCTTTGGTTTTCGAGCATCCGGAAAGCAAGGAGATATCTCTAGAATCCGGGGATGATACTGGAAACCCTTTTAGGAACTCTAAAGAATTTCCTGAAGCATATCCGAAGCAATTTCAGTTTTCTAGGAAACGGATTTTTTAAGAGAGCACATGCACTTGTACCTACCTATTGCATCACGACAGATAAGTGTTAAGGCCAAACTTTGGATAAGGTTGTGATTGATCTAAAACCTTCAAATCAAAATTAAAGATACTGCTGCGATTTACGTTCCATTGTCGCGTGTGAAACGTTTGATTGTTTTGATTATTTTACGATACTTCGATTACAAGGTTTTAGTAATCAAACTCAAGTGAATTCCAACTCGCCGAAATGGATAAACTTGATAAACTATTTTCAGAAACACGAATGCGTTTTTTCGAGTCGTTCTAATGAGTTTCTGTATTTTATAGAATGCTGTTTATAGATGCTACATACTTATACTTTTATTTGTGTAACATGTGTTCAAGAGTTTTTACCATGTTTGTGTTAACTTTTTCTTACAGTGTATCTCTTGTTTTCTTTCATGTTTTACTTTATATTTTATTCATTTTGTGGATTCCCTTTCTGTATTATAATGTTGTGCTTATTAGTCCTCTGATTTTCTTTCCTTTTTTAATTACATAATGAAATGATGTTGAGTAGATATTCCATTGTTGTAGCATCCATTTATCAGTTTGTTGTTGCTAATAAACTGATTATATATCTGAATGCGTTGTCATTGAAACTAAAAGTGTTAATATAAATATATCTAGCTATTATAATAATGTACAGCAAATAATGAATTATTCAATGGATAGTATGACTGCATCAAACCATAATTCTATGGAAATGACAGTTGTGGCTAGAGCAATTATGATAATTGTTACATACGCTATTGTGCAGCATTTTACCCATGTGAATACTTATTCGAGCTGTATAGAATACAGGCAAACATGAATAGAAGCACACAGGATCAATAGACAATAATTTATTTCATCATAGTGCAATTGCATAAGAGAGAATTATTTCCTTTGACGATGGAATTTGTAAGGCAAAAGAGATTTTGATACTCATGATATGCCTATTCTTCTAGCTTTTATTTAAAACCTTGCGCTTCAAATTATTTTCAAAATAAATAAAGAAATTTTCAAATTGCCCTGAATCAAGAATACAACTTTGCGTATTGATTTATTAAAGCAAAATTATTTATCCTGTAAAGCAGCTGATAGAGATTCTGATGCTATTCTCAAGCACTATTATAATTGTAGATGGATTATGACTTCATAAATGAGTATCAATGTAGAAACAGGAACTACGCAGCTTCACATTTGATACTCTCATCAGTTGTCTCAGCAAGATCGATTAAAATACACAAACACTTGATTATGCAGTCGAGAGTCAAGCGTGTCGAAGCGACGAGCGTTACTTGTGTTACTCTTAGTTAATATTATTTTATTTGATTGTGAAGCAGAATTTACTACACGCTTAAAACTAGAAAAACAAATTTTTGGCAGATAAATCCAGTTTTTTTTCCTGTACTCCCATATAATCGAAATTTTGCTTTTGAATTATTTATTTTCGATTTACTGGAGGATTTATCCTTTGAAAATGAAAAAATAAATAGTGGTAGTGCAATATAATATATCATCTGATGGGATCTTTGAGCAAGATCGAAACGCGTTGTGGTAGCTCTTGAAAATCTTTCAAAAATTGAATTTTGTTAAATTTTTTAATTGTTTAGTCATCCTCACCCTCATCCCCAAAGATATAGAAATGTAAGATATTAATATGAGCCACTGGGTTATTATGAATCACCTTCTGCAGCTTGTTCAATGAAAGCTTGATATGAAGGTTTACGATTGAAATTTAAATCTTTCAGTCCATATTGAACTGGCATGTCTCCATTCATAAAATCTTGTAAATTAAACCAAAATGCTCTTTGAACTTGCGGTGTCCATACATGCATTGTACGTATTGATGTATGTACAAATACAGTTTGATTGTCCATTTCAAATTGATTGCCGGGTGTTGCTTGTGCTCCATATTCAGTTAACCAAATTTGTTTATCACCATCACCGTATCGTCGCATAACCGTTAGCATCTCATTAATTTTAGGTCCAATTTTGTCAACGGTCTCATCAAAATCATATGGGTGAAAATTAATTTTATCTGTATATGATTGTAAACCATTTAGATATAGTGCATTTAAATAATCCGAATCACACATTGCTAAGCCCATCATCATAACATGTGAATATCCACCGTCTTTATTATATTCTGATTTAACTGCTGTATATGCAGGTTTTAACATTTTCATATATTGCTGAGCAGATTCCATTTTATTAGAATATGGATCTGGCCATGATGCATCGTCATTATATTCATTACCCAATTCAACATTACGAATACCACTAGGAATTAACCAATCACGTGTAATTTGTGCACACGTATCTGCATAGGCTTTACCTAAGTAATCAAAACTATAATGACCATGTTTAGCATCGTCAATTTGTTGTCGACCAACAATTAACACAATTGATACTTCAATACCACGAGCACTAAAAGCATTTAATAATGGTACATAACGTAATTGAAAATCAACTGGTGCCCATGTAACAGGGTCTAAAACATGACCACTAAATGGATCAATATTAAAATTCCATCGAACAATTGATGGGCCTAATCCAAGAATTTCATCAGCATAACTTTCATATTCACGCGGTTGTAACCATTGTGGACTGATATTTAAACCTAGTAATTTCCATGAACCAGAAACACTTGTTGAGCTAGTAACTAAAAGAATTGCAATTATAACATACTTCAACATTATAAATACAAGTGATGTTTATAGCGATGAGACTACTCTCTGTATCGATAGTATATAATGGTTATTGTGCCTTTAGTATGATGAGAAAACAGCAGCTGTTACAAAAATCTGTATAGAAAGCTGTTATCGAGCAAAATCAGTCTCCTCAGCTACTAGTCCATATCCGACAAATATCTTTGAATTGGATGGCGACGTTCTATGGTACTTGTCAGTTAATGTAACGACATTGAGTGACAATAATAAAGATGGTGATCAAAACAATTACAACCTTATACAAAGCTCTCCTGTTTCAAAGCTAGTTTAATTATTGATTTCAAAAAATAAACTGTTATCACGGTGTTAAACATTGACAGAAATATGACAAAATATACTAAAAGCTGACGAGGGAACCTCTCCAGATGTCCAACTCTGTTTGAGCTAATACCTTGCTGATGGATAGGGCACATGAGTTTAATAAAAGTCTAAAATGATTTGGGCTGTTGCGGCTTCCTTGATGAGTTACAGTTGATTGAGTTCGTGCTGTTGAGGAGTGAGGATGAGCGTGAGAATTCAATAGAACAGAGATTGAAAGCATCACACAACATGCTTCGTTATTGCTTAAGGAACTCATCAGGCGTGTGATCAATATTGTTACATAAAGTTATATCATAATCAAAACTCAACCAATTTCTAATGTAGTTATGATTACTATAACCAGTGGCGTACGCAGAAATTTTTCAAGGGGGGGCCCAAGTTCGTAGGGGGGCCGGCCATGGCACAAAAAATTTTTTATCACGTCAAAATATTTTTTCCTGTACCCCCCTCCAGGACTTTTTCGTCTCAAGGGGGGGCCCGGGCCCCCTCGGCCCCCACCTGCGTACGCCACTGACTATAACTAATCTCTATTTCAGAGTTAAACGGACGTGACTATTTTTTGAATAACTTTAAAACAAAAAGAGAGCAATGACGCGAGTTTTCAACATTATCTAGAGTCGACACTACTTCATCTTTTTATAAAGTTCACGAAGAAATCCAGTTGCTTTCCTTCTGAGATGCAGCATCAGTTATAAAGATGACCTTAATTCGCTTTGAAAACAATATGTTTTCTAAATTATAATATAATGAGTAGATAGCCAAGCTTTGCCTCTATTGATCAGCACAAACTCGAGATCGATAGCTGTTTTCTTTCAAAAAATATAAAGAATTTACTGAATACTACTCATCAAAATTTTTCAAAATTTGAGCAGTTGACAAATATCTTCTTATATAAATTTTTAGCCATTTTTCACTTCATGACAAGTTCCATTAATCTTTGGACTTTGTTTTCCTATAAAGAACGTCATCAAAATTTATGCATTCAGTTTATTTTATGATAAGGGTGTGGGATGTTGGCGTGGGTGTGAATATGGGTGTTATTCTCTTCTAAACCCATACACCACATCATTCCCACACTCAGCCACACATCCATATCCAGCCATCACACACTCACACCCAGTGCTTCTCAAGAGAGCGCTTGGTTGACAGAAATTTAAAAAAAAACACGATGGAGAAAGAAGAAAAATAATTAATGTGTTTTTATGCTGCAAGGTAAATAAAGAGTCCTTCGACAAACAAACGACGCATTTTGCATACACAACTGTCAACCATGTTTTAAAATATTACTAAAATTTTGTTGGAAATTTTTATTCTGTTTATTGCATCCTAGTGAGTAACTTATTATGATGAATGACATAGGTCTTCGAGTTTTTTGAAAGTCATGAGCAGAACGAACTTATGACTGGAATATAAAATACAAAGAAATGAGACAGAACTGAAGTTTATATTTAACCCTTTGAAGGTGGACTTTTTCTTTATAAAAGGAATAAAATCGTAGTGTCAGAATCAGTTCTAACTTGAAACGTATTAACTATCATAATTGTTATACTGGTTCTTATTGCAAAGACACAAATAGAGAATTTTGAGATAGGAAAAGAAACAAAACTCTCAAAGAATCTACTTGAATAAAGCCAAAGATTTTCATTCCTACTGGAATTTTCAAACCGTATATATACGGGCTTCGCCCTCAAAGGGTTAAGACGGACTTCCGTTTATCTGGTAGGTTGATGACTCTTTGTCACTCCGAGATCTACCAAGTGTATTTTTCTGCACCCATCACACATATGTTTATTAGTTTTATTGATTTTATTCTAGAATTTTGTCTGCATTTTACATGATTAGCTTGCTATGTTTGTATCCTATTCTATTCATGACCGTTTTGTGATTTTCGATATTGAGATCGAACTATCGAAATAATGGAAATGACAATTTCATATGATAAGGAATAAAGACGATGCTTTCATGCTTCTGAAATTTGCATGTCGAGAAGGATGAGTAGATCGTCAGCAGCGAGCGTGAAGCCTGTACGTAACATAGAAATGCTTAGCAGTGATGCTGAAAAGTTTTCTACCGCAAAACTTGCGGATAACGATATAAGCAATCAGTATACTGTCATGCATCGACACAAACAAGTACGAGCAAACGAAACTTACGTCAGCTGCAAAGCAATAGACAAAAGTGAACTTGAGAAGCGCTCGTTTGCTGAGATCAATGCATACCAGTAAGCACACATTCTATCCGATCTGAATTCAAGACGCGAAAGTGATCGGGAAACCTGTCAAGCGTCGACAGGATACATATCAGTGCTAATGGGTGTAGGTGGCAATGTAGCTTAACAAAAAGAGCTGCATCAAAACATCCAAACCAGAACCCAATCATCCGTACTAAAACCTACACGCACATCTGGTCATCCACATTCGGTCATTCACACTCAAACATTCAATCTCACATAAACATATATCAAGCTCGAGTAGCTCAGGTTCGGTTAGACTCGTTTAGGCTCTGACTGAGCCTGAGTCCGACGTGCTTGGTCTAGGCTCAGCCTCGATACATGCCCAATCCTACTCACAACCATACATCGACATCCGATCATGCCAACTCGATTACGTACTTCCAATCATCTACAGACCCATATCCAGTCCTCCGCACATGTTCATCCCCAACAATGCTCAATTACCCACACAACCACATCCAATCACTCACATGCAATCATTCACATCCACGCGCCCACACCCATTGATTCACATTTAATTTTCAACACCCATTGATTAACACATCCATAGCTACACCCACCCACAACCTCGATGAAGGCTTTCAGGCTACATGGCAACATGTGCTAGTGAGAACTAAAAGCTTCAGGCTATTGATAATTGTCTCCACTTGGTGGCCAAATCTTTCGGATCACGGAGAAGTGTGTCTGAAGAACAGCAAACCGATTCCAGGGAATTGATCAGTGTGCCCGATGAGCAAGGAATCTCTTTTGGATATTAACTAATATTAATGGGTGGTGGGAAAATTTTCTGGTCACCTGAAAATCCTCCTTTGCTACGATAATTGTAGCCATTGCTTTTTGGAGTACCAGTAGCTAAGGTCCAAAATTCAGTAGGGCGAGGGACTGACAGCATCCACTAAAAACTTACACTCACTGTTCTCTTTCGAAAAATATATGTGAGTGCTACAAAACGACGTCACTTTCATGAAATCATTGTTCCATTTCTATTAGAAACCTCTCATTTTTATTGTCTCTATGACGTAACGGTTGTAATAGAATAAATGCCAGTCTGAGCACGCTTCGATATATTCGTCGATTCTCGTTATTTCAAAAAAATTTTTGTTAAAAGAACCAGTTGTTGCACATGCTTGGGTGACCATGTGCTTCTTTTCTTCAAATACACTCACATCCTACATCCTAATAATCAAATCTCAAAATAGCTTGGGTCAGCATTCATTTTCTTATAATAGGCAGACTTCGATGAAACGTAAAGACTAATGTAAGGTATCAGAAGCAGTATTTTATAGCCGATATTGAGAGAAAAGTCGTTAAAAAATGTTGACTCACACAGAAAATAATGGTTTCTTCCCCCTAACAATAATTCATCCTTACAGTGTACAATAATAAACTCTATTCCTTAACTGCCACGATGATAAACTCTTACATGGTAGTTATAAAGTCTTCTTATTTTCACATACCTTTGCTTTCATAAACGCTCGAATTCATATTTCCTCAACAGTTTTATGAAAAATTGTGTTCCGAATAAAAGTTTATTATTCTACGGTTTCTTTTACAGTGTAACAGCTTGAGCAGTTCTTGACACTTAATTAGATAGAAAAACCACCGATCAAATAAAGATGCAGTTTTCGAGATGTTAACTTTAAGTTCTATCAAGATTCAAACAAGAGATTTTGATGAAAGCCGAATGTTCTTATAATTAGCAAAGCGGGCTCTCAACATTCAATATCACACTCTTTAAGAGAATTTATGTGTGTGGGTGTGATTGTTGATTGAATAAAGAGTAAACCCACACTCACACCCTTTGATCTTCGAAAATGATGAGTACAGTGGTAAAGCAAAATTAAAAAGTTGTGTCAAGGATGCAAATGATATGACAGTTGCATTAACGAACTTAGATGAATCATTATGACTAACATTTTAGTGAAAGATACAATTTTTAAAATTCCTTTTTCTTATATTCTAGATTTTTATTGCGCAAAATATCATAATTTGAATAAACGTACAATGGAAATTGCTATCAGACACTTTCGTAAAAAATGGTTGATAAGAATTGTATACTGATATCTTTTTCTGGATATGGAATGGAAGAAAAAGTAAGGATTACGAAGCATTTGTTGCGTTGATTCAACACTTCCAGCAGCCTTTAGTCGATTTTTTTCAAGAAAATCCGTTCTGATACAAATGTTAGTGAATCTCTGATATTTCACTTACGAGGGAACATTTCCAAGTGATATCAACCATTCGGGCTCATATTTTGCTCATAAGTAGGATCTAGTGAGACTAGAAAAAGTCTAAAATATTTCATGCCATTAGATCTTTCTTTTAAAGTTATGACCGTTTTACTGAATTTTCGACCTTGAGTAAGGAATTTGTAGAAAAATTGAATGACGAAATTTTGAGCTGAAATTTTGCCTAAGAATAGGTCTCATTGATATTAGAAGGCCGTAAAACTTTCAGTTAAAACTGATACTTTCTTCTCGAGATACTGCATATTGAAGAAAACGGTCATTTTCCAAAAAATTATCGTAAAATTGACTTCTATTCAGTATGCAATATCTCGATAAAGAAATATCCATTTTAACTAAAATTTTTACTATCTTCTAATATTAATGAGACCTATTCTTAGACCAAATTTCAGCTCAAAATTCCATCATTCAATTTTTCTACAAATTCCTTACTCAAGGTCGAAAATTCAGTAAAATAGTCATAACTTTAAAAGAACGATCTAATGGCACGAAATATTGTAGACTTTTCTAGTCTCACTAGATCCTACTTATGAACAAAATATGAGCCCGAGTAGTTGGTATCACTTGGAAATATTCCCTCGTTAGTTATATGACAAAACCGTTATATTCAAAAAGTTGAATTTGACAGGCTACTTTTGACAAATATGGTAGAGAAACCTTGCTTTGATATAATTTGATGGAGCTATTCTCAACAATATTTACCCAAAACAGGGTGTTGGTGGGTGTGGGGTGAATGCGGGTGTTGGTATGGATATGGGAGGGTGTGGGGTGTGGGTGTGAGTCTTCTCTTCATCAGTCACACCCACACCCGATCGACACACTGAAGCTTCAAAAAATTCTTATCTGCCAATGGAATTATTCATATAGTTATATTTATGTATTTAGACATACAAAACTAGACAAAAATTCTTTACTGATATAAATACTTTCACTTCTTTCAATCGTATCAAGCATCGTTCATTGTTCTACCGTTTCGAGTCATCATCAACAAACATGTCAAGATTTGGTTTAATCAAACGTAGGGTCAAATGGAAATTAATGACTCTTTCATGTCTATTAGTTCTATTTTTTAAACTCCATTATGATCTACGTCTTTTGGAGTCAATAAGTACGATGCAAGGGATTAGGTTACGATCGACAACTTATGAAGAAGATACATTTCATGAGCTGATTAAACCGATAAATCATTTTACTAAAGCTGCATCAACTTTGTTAATTATCACAACAAATAATCATCTTGATGTAACAAAACAGTGCATAAGAAGTCTATCTGTACTAGAAGATAATTTGGATATTTTATTTATTGATGATGCTAGTACAGATAAGACTGTAGAATATATAAAATCTCATAAATATTCAATCATATCAAATAATAGACCTCATGGTTTAACATATTCATGGAATTTAGGATATAAATTATGGAAAAAAAGGGATTATACTAATTTATTAATAGCTAATAATGATATACTTATTCCGAAGGGTGCTATAACAGAATTAAATAAATTTTTAATGAAATATCCCTTCGTTACATGTATGAGTAGATTAAAAGGAGTTGGTCATTGTCCTGAACAATCTATTGAATATCGTTTTAATTTAACAAAAGATGAAATAGATTTTGTTAATGATCCAATTAATTATCAATTAGTTCAAGATAATCTTCAAATTTTGTTTAGTGATAATAGGCAAACCAATGTTCATTATCATGTCCGTAATCGTTTTAATGGATTTATGTTTGGCTTTAGAAAACCAGATATTTACAAAGCAGAATATTCGAAAGGAATACTTTTTGATCCACGAAATATAGTTGTAGGTCAAGAAGATGAAGTTATCGTACGACTAAACCATAATTCTATACCATTAACACTTTGTAAAAGTGCATTCATATATCACTGGAAAAGTGTAACAATTGGCCAATCATATTACTTGGCAAGAAATAATTATGACGCACGTGAAGAACTTTCAAGATATCATCGTAATCTCAAGAATAATCATTTACAAAAACCAACGATTGCATTTGCTGTTTCTGACCCAAAACGTAATCCATTATCAGGTGATCTATTTACAGCTAAAGAATTTGCATATTCATTAGAAAGAATGCTGAATTGGAATATAGTTTATCTTTATAGAAGAAAAAATGAATGGTATAATTTAACTGATGTTGATATTCTTATAGTGATGTTAGATGCATATAATATTTCAAAAATATATGATAGTAAACCAACATTAATAACAATAGCATGGATGAGAAATTGGTTTCAACGATGGATATCATGGCCATGGTTTTCAAACTATTTTTTTGTATTATGTTCTTCTAATAGAGCTGCAAAATTCGTGCAAAAACATAAATCTTTCAACAAAATACAAGTATTACGTATAGCAACAAGTCCTCGTCGATTTTCCAAAGGCAATAGTCGTGTCAATTTATTATATGATTATGTTTTTACTGGTAGTTATTGGAATACTAATCGATCTATTATGAATTTTAATCCACAGAAGATTTCAAAATTTAAAGGAGCAGTGTATGGTTATGGATGGAATCAAACTAATAATACACTTCAAACAATTTGGCAAGGATTTGTTCCATATGAAAAAATAGCTGATATTTATCATTCAACTAAAATTGTAATTGACGATTCAAATTTAGTTTCAATCAAATGGGGCTCATTAAATTCAAGAGTATATGATGCACTTGCATCTGGAGTACTTGTTTTATCCAATGATAAGTATGGTGCATCCGAAATTTTCAATGCTACTTTACCAGTTTATAAAGATGCAAATCATTTGATACAATTACTTAATTATTATTTAAATCCAAAGAACAAACGCGTGTATGATACAAAACAGAAATTCCTGCGCTCGATAGTATTGAAAAGTCATACATATGATATTCGAGCACAAGAGTTTTTTAGATATTTAAGAAAATATTTAAAATGTAATAAGACAAATCTATTTGATAGACTTTGTTTTCCTTTTTCACGTATCTCATTACCAATATGCAAAGTTCGAAATCAAGAAATAGATCTTCCTGTAAATCAAATATGCGTTATAGTCCGTACCTTTTCAGGACAAAGAAAGCAGCTATTTCCTATGTTAACATCACTATTAGCGGGAAGTAATTCTGTAAAGATTTATATCATAGATACTGATCCATTACGAACATCTTTTCCAACATGGATAGATACGATTATATCAGATGTAAATAATGTTTATCAAACATGTCAAATTTATAATCTTCACTATCATATAAACATTACACCAAAATATGGTTATTATGGTTACGATGGTACTGATATTGCAATGGACTTTATTTTAAAAAATGATAATTGCGCCTATATTATGTTTACTAATGGTGATAACTTATATAATATCAATTTATTTAGTATCATAGATGAAGCCACACTTCTTGGAACTGATATAATTGCATGGGACTTCATAACTCATCATGTTCGAAATGGAACATTGAATACAGCGATAAAAGTGAAATTTACTAGACAAAACGTTGACTTAGGTTGTGTACTTTATGCATCTAAGTTAATAAAAGAATCTGGTGTCAAATTTTTACCTGAAAACGGAACAAATGATTTATTTGCAAGAGACTGGCATTTTGTGGAAAGTATTTTAAAGAGCAGAAAAGGAATAACCACAAAGCTCTATCATGAAGTTCTTCTAATGCACCAATAGCCATTGATGGATTAATTAGTGAACAATAAACTTCATCTACCATTTGTATTGTCTTTTGTGCTAATGAGTGTTGAAATATATAGCGAGAAAGTTAGACCTACCTTGACTCTGTCGCAGAAGATGGGTGTGAGCATGTGTGTGGTGTATGGGTGAAGACAAAATACACATCCACACCACATCCATAGCATTTAAAAAGGAAGTTAAGTCTATGGCTAACTGTGCTGATTGACAGTGGAGGCCAATTAAAGTTCCTTATTTTGTTTTTTTTGCTATACTTCTTTTACAGTAAAACTTCCATTCGTGAACACTTCCTGTTTGAACACTTTTCTCGATTTTCCCAACCTAGTTTTGCTGTAATCGGACTCTATAATGAACACCTCCCAACTCTGAACATGAATACTATTTTTCGGTCCCTTCGTCAAAAAAATCTCTATATAGTGAACACACAGAACAAAGTATGCGTGTATTTATGAAACAAAAGAAAAAAACGAGCACAGCTTCCATTCTGAAGCGGTGATAGGCCAACTCATTAACTGTCTATCCATCACAAGAAATTTTGTAGCGTCTATAGAACAAAAGGAACAATGAAAATGAATAGGTCACGATGAGTTGATCAGTCACATATAAAGTAATATCGCACTTTTTTATTTACGCACAATTGTAAGTTAACGATACGACACACATCGATCCTCTCTGAAAAGAGACAGTTAATTCGTTAAACCGAAGAGAAATGTTCATATCTTACGCTTGCCGACAAGTCTAAGATCTCGATCGGCACTATATCAAACATTGTCAAGCGCAAGGTCAAGTATATGGAAAGTTACGAACAAAATGAAAATTGAAGTAAGAAGTGGAATCTACGGGATAAATTCAGTCAACAACTCGATCAAAAAGTATATGAATGGTTCATAGCACAACGTAGTAAGAACATTCCAGTTTCGGATCCAGTTCTACAAGAACGAGCCCAAAAATTCCGTTGACAACTTGATGTAACGGCTGCCGACGACTTCAAGGCAAGCAACGGTTGATTAGAAAAGTTTCGCATACGCCATGGCATACAATACTGACCTATATGTTGAGAATCAACAGCAGTGAATCCTACAATTGTTGACGACTGGAAAAAAACGACTTCCATCGACAATCGACAACTATGATCCCAACAACATCTGCAATGCCCATGAAACCGGCCTATTCTTCAAATCTCCACTCGATCGTTCGCTCGTCATGGCTAAGAAAGCTTGCAAATCCAGACCGACACCCTACTATGCCTGCACTATATACGTATAAAAGATCAGTTAATGCAAAATCTCCGTATAGTGAACACTTTGGAGGGTCCCGTTGGTGTTCACTATCGAGAGCTTTTACTGTATTTAGTTGTTCTTGTTTTCCTATCATTCTAAATTGTTTGATAATTAATTATTAGTCACGTACTAGAATTAGTAATTCAACTAGTTGAAAAATAAGTATTTGAACGTTGCCACAAACAAAAGAAAAGATTATCTAGTACTTGCTTAACAATTAACTTTTTAACTTGTTTTTTTTTAAATATTCAAGGAACAAATCAATTGGATACGTTGTTGTTATAACAAATACATAAACTACTAATCATAAATATTTGCTTGAATGCAGAAGGAAAGCAATTTTTCTTGAATAATCAAGTAAAAACTGCAAAATTTATGAATGTTATGTAGTCATTTCACATTCGCTCATAACAGGTCTGATGTCATACTGATTTTAAGAAAACGAAGAGTATCATATAAAATTCCTTAGACTTAAAAAAAATACTTAGAAGTACACATGGAATATAAGATGACATTATCAAAAGAAATGGCAATACGTTAGACCATATCGATGAAAAAACTTACAAAAAATTTTTTGTTTACTAGAAACATCTATAATAATGATAGTTACATATTAGAAATCAGAATTATTTTATTTAATCATATTAAGAATATTTCATTCAGATTCCATAATCTATTTAAAGTTTAGGTTTTGACAATCTTTTCAAATCTCGTAAAATTCAAGAAAATTGATCATTTTCCTTTTGAACTCATCTCTAAATATCTGCTATTTTCAATTTGCAGAAAGTTTAGAAATATTGACTAAATATTTTAGATATCATTATTGCATTTTATATATAGTGCATTAAATAGAAGGAATATTTAAGAAAAAATTGAAAATGGGTTGAGCTATAAAGATCACTTTCTCACATTAATTTTTTGTATTTTATAGGAAGATCTACATAGTTTAAAGTGTTTCTCATTAACAAGTTATAATTTCATTTGGGATAACAATGATTTGGTTGTGATACTTCTCTGTCATATGACTCATCTGGAAAAGTTAACTTTGTATCTTCGTATTCGAAAGAAGGATCTATTTGACGATGATGCAAGTCCATATATTGATGGCACATATCTTCAGAATGAAATTCTTGTTCATATGTCTCAACTTCATGCATTCAACTTATATTTTAGTATATAAATTCTCATTAATAATTCAGTTTCTCGTATATCTTGTGATGATATTCAACAAACACTTACAAATATAAAATACGGATAAACAGCTTGTATTATAGATTATTTCGGTGTGATTGGAGCCATATGTCATGTTTAATCCTCTGAAAAATATCACGACTCACTTTCTATTTATTGTGTTTGATACTATAACTCACTTGTCTGCGTATGATATAGTTCCATTCGAACATGAATTCTTCATGCGAATTAGTCAAGCTTTTTCATCGCTCAAGTGTTTCTCTATAGAGAATGAACGAATGCAATATGGTAATTGTAATGATTATTCATCATATTCAGTTATTGAATTTACTCATCTAATATCACTTGATATCAGGCGCGTGCAAAGAAAAATTATATTGAGCAATTTCTGTTGGAAACAAAGACACATCTACGACGTTTAACTCACTTAAAAGTCAATTACCACGACCTAAAAACTAACAATGAACTTTACAAGAGATGCAACGCGCCATAATTTTTCTAAAGTGAACCGATCAATTGTTGAAGAGTCAATAACTTTTTCAAAAAGTATTTATCAATATTTTCGTTTTTTGTAAATTAAAGTCTGTGTTGATAGGTTGAATAAAAATAAATGATTTAAAAACTCTTATATTCTTATAAGAAAACAAAAAATGAACAAGAAATATGAATTGATTTTAATTGAGTTTAGTAATATGTAAGAGACGCTAACATTAGAAAACTGTTCATATTGTTTCATCGGTTAATGTTCATAAGTGAAATGTTATACGTATTCGAACGATAATTTATGACGATAGAAGTTTCAAGAGAAAACTGTTTTAACAGTTTTATGAAAATTATTGAAACTCAATAGTGAAAAATCACCAGAATATTATCTAATTATATCTATATTCTGTATGTACGGACAACTATGAAGAGAATATTCTATTGTTCTGATTATATTAATTATAATTCAATTTTATAAAAAATAATTATTTGTTATTCATAGTTTCTTATCAAACAAAGAAAAGAGCAAAAGAGTAGGATTAGAGGTGTCGCATAAGAATTAGCATTAACAGTTAATATTAATGCTTAGGTGTTAGCATTAATTTAGCATTATTTTTAATACTTATATATATCCGCAGTATAAATTCTAGACCTCTAGCTTGACATACGACCTTTAACTTTTTAAGATCTGCCTTGGGACACTTTTTGTAATTTTTAAAGGGCTGCTTACAGCAATCTTTGTAGCTTTTTAAGGGGTACTCGAGGCTAGTCTTTATAAATTTTCAAGGGATATCTAGGAGTAGTCTTTTGTAAGTTTTTAACAACTACATTTGGGTTCTCTTTGTAACTTTCTAAGGGTTACATGGGGCATTCTTTGTATTTTTTTTGGTTGTGGATGTAGTTGAGTATTTTTTTTCATCAACACTCACACTCACACCCGTTAGGGACAAAAAGGATTTATCCTATCTGAATTTAATCTTGGTTGTTTGTAAAAATATTTGACTCATTATTTCTTGGATCCAATTTTAAAGAAGGATAGATGAAAAATAAATGAGAATCATCAATTAATGCTTTTTTCATATATTTTCTAATTAAGTCTTTCTTTTTGTGTTGATTATCACGTTTGTAACTGTTTCGTTGAGCTAAAATATTGTTTCTATAAGCACTAAAAAGTAACACATGATATCGTGCATTTATTAGAAAATCAACATGCTTTTATAACAATAGACATATGGACGCGAAATTTTTAGTTATCATATTTTATTGCAAATACTAAAACCTTTCAATTTCACCATAATTTCTCAGATGACCTAAAGAACGTCGGAGAAAAACTTTATACTTTCTTGTCTTTCTGCATATTACGTTTGATTTCATATAAGCACAAAAGATTTCTTGCGATTTATGTCCACATGGCTCGTGGAAAACGAAAAGAAGATATTATAATCAAAAAGTTGAATACTAAATTATTTATTTATATAGAACAAAAGGGTGGGGTGTGAGTGAGTATGGGTGTGGGGCGTGTGTGTGAATTTGGAGCGCCAGTGCAAGTCTATCTTCTATTTACGCACATTCGCACACTTACACTCACACCGACACCCACATCCTTCTCTTCACAAGTATCTACACGTTCACACTTCAACAATTATACGCTGTATGTATGTTTTATTAAAAGAACTGTGTTCAATCTATTTGAGTTGCATATTACAAAAACAATGAGAAATCTGTCTTCAAGCTTGCTGCATTTTGCAATTGCACTTTGCTTGATGAGGACAGACTGCAACATTCAAGTATTACACTTTTCAATGACTGGTTATGTTGCAACATATGGATGATACAATGGACACTTGAGTCGCCTATTAAAGAGTTGTCATTTAGGTACAATGTTTGCAGGCTTGCATTGTGACACGCCAGAGTGTTGGTCAGTTGTTTGACTCCTTGATAACTGATTTGATTGCAGTCCAGTCCTAATAATGTTAGCTTTGTATTTTTCTTAAGCATTTCACAGAGGCATTCCACTCCACTATC